TTTTTTTTTTTTTTTTTTTTTTTTTTTTTTTTTGGTTGTTAGGGATTTGGAGATCAAACTTGGTTCTGTAAAGTTGTTGAATTTCTTTGTTCTGTTTTATTTTAATAAAAATAAAGCCTTTGGGTATATATAGTTCTTCCCCCCTTTTTTCTTTTTGTAGTTTTCTAATTACTTTTTGACAGTAAAGAAAACGGGTTCACTTTTAGGAGGAAAGAAAGTGTAACTTTGGTGAAGTTGTTGTGTGTCTCTTCCCAGAGAAGAGAAGTTAGTTGGGGTTGGCTGTTACCTGTACAACAATCCCCAGAAAACTCAAGACAAAACCCAGACTTCCCATCAGGCCACAGCATTTGTGTTGGGCCTTCCTTAAAAGACTTTCAGGAGAATACGATTTAATGAGATTGACACACCTCTAAAGAGGTATGGCAACTCTGGCCACATGGACAAAGGATGGGTTTTCACCATCAGCTCTGGGACAAAAGGTGGTGGGCCCTGTGCTTGCTCTCAGGCTTAAGTAAAAACTGTCCTTACAACCCTGCATTGATTTGTAAATATATGTTTTAAGGGTTTTCTGGCTTTACGTTTTCACTGGGGCTGTGGCTTTTACTCTGTAAAAGTCTCTATTGAGAATTTACATTGATGGTTTCCAACTTTGGTTTTCACTTAGGGGAACCACACCATTATGGACTCACAGAAACTGGATTTACTCTCTTGTCTATAACAACAAAACAGAACCACACAAGATATACAAAATGCCGATTTCCAAGAGACTGGGCATCAGGCAAAAGAGGACGGCAATTCCAGACACTTGGAAACACACAGGTCAGCCAAGCCCTACACAACATATGTGCTGCCTTGAGAGAGTTTCCAAGTAAGGTGCAGGGAGGGGAAACTGAAGAGGAGCCCAGTGTACTATGTAGAGTTGAGGACACTGAGCTGCGAGTCCACAGGACGATGTGGTGGGGAGGGCAGAGCTGTGAAAGTCAATTAGCAAGAGCTGTTGGGGGGCCCTAAGTGTGCAGCACAGTCCTGCTCTGTGCCTCCATGGGCGCCAACTCCAGCAAGTCAGGGAGCAATCTTGTGAAAGGATTAGAGGGAACAGAGCCTGTACACCAGCACTGGAAATACAGTCTGTTGCCAACAGATAGACTGGAAAAAGTAACCCCCCTCACTCACGAGGCAGGAGGACTCAGGGAGGTCTTGCCACAGTGTTGGGAACTCCTAATTAGCCCTCTGCTGAGCACTGCTCAGGACCACTGAAAAATCATTAAAGTAACACCAGACATGATCAAACTGTTTCCAAGTAACTGAATTGCATCCTTGATCAAAGCTCAGGATTATAGAAAACACAAAAATATCCAGCAACCAAACAAGGTAACATTCCCACTGGCCATTCCATCCAAGATTTTGAGGTGTGCAGAGCAACAGGGGAAATGACCCTTAATGAGGAGACAGTTCAATCATCTGAAAATGACCCAAAGCTGACACAGGTATGAGAATCACCAGAGGAGGACATTAAGGTGTTTCTTATAATTGTATTCCATCAGTTCAGAATGTTCAACAGGTAAATGGAAAGTGTGAAAAAGACCCAATCTCACGTTAAGCGATGAAAACCACGATGCCTGAAGAGAAGTGTACTGCAAGGGGTTGACAGCAATAGAAAATGCAGAAGAAAGACATTTCATAGGACTTGTTTTGAATCTGCAGGCCTTGTCGATTAGTATTGCCCCCTTCACTCCATTAGAAAACACAGAAGAAAAACATTTCATAGGACTTGTTTTGAATCTGTAGACCCCGTTGGTTAGTATTGCCGCCTTCACTCCATAAAATCTAATCCGTGAACACAGGATGTCTTGCTATTTCTTTAGTTTTCTCTAATCTCTTACAGCAGTGTTGTATAGTTTTCACTGTAAAAGTCTTTGCTTCCTTGAATCAGTTCATTTATAGATATTTTATTGTTTGGGGTGCTATTGTAAGTGCAATTGTTTTCTTAATTTCCTTTTCAAATTGGTCTTTGTTGGTGTAGAGAAACACAACTGATTTTTGTCTATCTTGTCCTCTGCAACTTTATAGAATTAGTTTATTGACTCTAGCATTTTTGTTTGTGAAGTACTTGGGATTTTTCTCTAGATAGGAGGATGCCTTCCACAAATAGAAATAATTTTATTTATTCCTTTCCACACTATTTTTGCTCAACTTCAATTCTGAAAGATATTTGGGCTGGGTGTGGAAGCCAACAACCGCCACAGGCCACCCCTGGATTTTTGGGACCGAGATGAGCAGTGACAGGAGGTTGCCTATTTTGGGTCACCTCAGCCCGGGGTCTTGGATGAGCACACACAGCCTGGCCAGGGAAATAGAGTCCTTGTTCTTTGCAACCGCCTCAAATGAGAAGGACCAAAAGACCCCTTGAGGCTCCTACAGGGAGGGTTCCTGCCCCTCCCCGACCTGGGAATGGCCCAGAAGTGAGAAGTCAGAAAAGGGAAGGGGCTGGGGTGGCTGCTGACTCCAGGCCGTGGGGGGCCCCTGAAAGCTGTGCCTAATTCCACCTGTAGAGAGCAAAATGGGATCTCTCACTCAAGCAGGGGCCTGGGTCAAGCAATAACACAAGCAGTTAAAGATATTGCAGCTAGGAGGTACTGCTAGGACCAGCATCAGCTGACACCCCAGAACTGACAATAATTAGAAACAGAGGAGGGGGCAAGACTGATTAAATCCCTTTAAAAAGGAGAGGATTTTTACAGCAAACTGTCAGACTCTTCAGACATGACCTCTCTATGTCAGACCACTTCAAAAAGGCAGCTACTGCTGAAGGCTCTGCCCAATTGATCCTCAAACAGAACTGCGATCCTTCACTGCTTAAACATAATAAGCAATAAGTGGCATGAACTGTCCTGGACCGGACCAAGGACAGAGGACTGCATGCCCACAGACTGGCTTCTACACTTTCTGTCATCTTCTTTGTTGTATGGTTTGTCTTATGTTCTGCTCTCTGTGTTGGGTAAGAAGCCAAGTTTAATCACTTGGTGAAATGTCATTGAATTTGGAACCCTGAAATTGCTTTATAATAGTGATTAACTTTGCTTTATGATCGAATAAAGCTGACATCGTGGAAAGACACAATTCTGTGTGTGCGCCTTATTAGTGTGTGCATGACACTACCTCACCCTCCTGCTCCTTGGGCAGAAAGGGGAAGCCACCAAGCCCAAAAGGTAGAACCACACACACTTGCATAGGGAGCTCTTTCTCTGTTATAATTTGAATTCAAACCCAAGCTACCAAGGTTCCAAACCCCACACCAGCTATACCATGACCACTACATGCCCCCATGACCTGCGGTGCTATAGTTGAATCTCAGCATTTGAGGTCAGTAGCAGCTAGAATTGAACCAGTCTCCCTCTCTACCTTCCTTCCTCCCTCTTTCTCTCCTCCTTCCCTCCCCCTTCACTCTGTCCGTTCTCTGTCCCTTTCTTTCCCTCCCTTGCTCTCTCCCTCTTCCTCCTACTCATGGTTGCCTACCCTCACCTTCTTTCTCCTCTTCAACTTTCCCTTTTACTCCTCTCCTTGCCACCAACACACTCAGACTGAGGCTGCTGCACTGCCGTGTTCAGAATAGGAAACCCATTGTCTTTCCAGGTGAAGCCCTCTAGACATCTATAGAACTTTTACCTGGTTCTAAACAGCTGCTAGAATAAAGGTTAAGAGCAGCCAATTTGAAAGACTTTTCACCTGACCCCATCCCAGGGTTCCTCTAAGACTGAAGACTTAAGAGTCCGCAGTTGAGCTCTTAGTACTCCACCCCAGGCCCCATGGCAGAATGTATCCTTCATGGGTGCCTACCTGGTGACAAGCCCTGCTCTGGCCACTTGGTGAGCAAATCCTAGGTCATTGCACCATGAAGCCTCCATTGGAGGCCTGCGGGTGGTGCAGTGGGGGCACAGCTGGTTAGTTCCTTCCCATTATGGGGCCCATGCACCCCATCTTGGGGAGACTTGCTGTGAACAAAAAATGGATGAAAGCCGACCAAGAATGGGAAATGTGTGACTTCAGCCTCAGAGGCTACTGGTCTCACCTGGAGCTCACCTGCTTGCAAGACAGTTCAGAGGGCTTGCAAGGTAGGGAAGGCCTTGGGCCCAGGATTTCAATTCACAGTCCCCAGGTCACTCCCTGAAAATGACCCTGAGGCAGCAGCTGCAAACTGGCGACAGTCAGTCCTATTTGAAATTGTTGCCCGATCAGGTCAAGTACTCTTCTGAATCAGAGAACCCAAGGGTCTCTTACTGGAAGAATCACTGCCTAGCTGACCTGTACTGCCCTGGAAATACAGTCCAGTATCTTCCAGCTTTGCCTTCAGGAAAAATATGCTCGTTTATGCAAATTATGCCTTGAGATTAGGCATATCCCTTATCACCCTAGACGCTGATCCTATGACTCAGCCTACCTCACCAGATTATTAACTCGAGAGCAGGGGTTCTCATATTTACCCAGTCCTGGATGATAAGCTTTGCATTTGAGACATCTGATAAACATTTGCAGAATTATACGTGCCTGCCTTGGTTTTGACGGAACACACGCTTAGAAGATTACTTCCTGTAATTGAGAGGTTGTGCCTCCCAGGAGAGTGCAGAAAAGGAAAGAAAAGAAGTGGGAGGTGCAGTGGACAGGGATGTGGGGAGGCCCGTTTGGAATTACTGCACAGCATGCTGCCCCCTTGTGGCCTACCAGCTACAGGTCAGCCCATGACATTCCTTGGATCCCAATTCTTACACTTTTGGCTCTCAAGACCCTTTTACACTAAAAAAAATATTGAAGATACCAAAGAGTTTTTGTTTATGTGGGTTATGTGTATTAATACGTATAATATCAGAAATTTTAAAGTCAAAATACTGATTCACTTACACTAGTGTACTAAACCCATATTAACACATTTTTAAATGAAAAATACTATTTTTTAAAGCAAATGGGTGGTATCACTTTTTACATTTTTGTATACCTCTTTAATGCATGAGTTAAAAGAAGACTCCTGAATTCTCATATTCATTTCTGCGTTCAATATGTTTTCTGTGTTGTTTTGGTTGAAGATATGAAGAAAATCCAACCTTACACAGATAAGTAGTTGAAAAGGGGAGGAATATATTAATAGTCTTTAAAAATCAGTGTGGATATTCTTCTTTGATAAGACACCAAAACTCAACAAGTAGAGGTTTCTTAAGGTTAGTTGCAATGTAGAATCTGAAACCATATCAATGAGTCCTTTGTATTCTGTTACATTGAAATCCATTGTCTATTGTGAAATTTGAATGGGTCTTTATTCAGGCATCATTTTGTAAGTTCATATATTGGTCACTGAAAAATATTGATTCACTGAGTTATCCACCCTTTCCAAATGCTGACACATTTCAATCTTTAATATGTACATATATAAATCAGATAAATTAATATCATCACTGATCTTATCAGAAAAGTCTTAAAGTATTGGGAGACTGTCAAACTCATGATAGCCAACACAAATTTTCCAAAAGTCTAATTTTTGTTTGAAAGCTCCAATTTCATTATTGCTAACAAATTTCATTCGTTGTTTTCCTTGAAGTAAAAGGTACACTCTGTTCATTTTTGAGATGTCTGAGATATATATATATATATAGACAGATAGATAGATAGATAGATACACACACACACACATATATGAATATCCATGGTTTGGCTGTTAATTGTTCTTTCAATATACTTGAAATGGTGCTACATGAAAAAAAGTGGCTAGTTCAGCTCACCATGCAGTCACACAAGAACTTTTCCCTGAGACAACTATGTTCAGAGAACATTCAGGAAAGGAGCTGCTCTGGCCAAGAGAGGTGAGTGTGGCTGGGGAGGATAACTGGACCTGAGTCATTCAGAACTTAGCATTTTAGTCTTAAATGCACAGAACCAGAGAGGGACAGCCCACATTCTTTCTCCCTTCTGATGCCATCATACAGAATGGGCCCCTTAGCCCTAAGTATTCGCTGCCTGGGTGCTACTTGCTTCCTCTTGGCAGCCACTGCCTAGTATTCCCATCCCTCCTTCACCAGCCAAGATTCCAATCCCATCCCTGACGTTCTCATTTGCAGGCCCACCTGCAGAAGGGGACCAGTCTCCTCAACTGTGGAACTGGATGCCCCAGAGGTGAGCTTCTCATTGCAAGAACTTTATTACTAGTCAAGGTGGGGATATAGCAGAGGTAAGGAGAAACAGCAAGTCAGCAAAGTTTGGGAAACTGACGGGGTCCCTATAGTATTATCCCAGACTACAGCTAAAGTAGCCCCCTGCTCTCTTTCACACTGCTCCTGGGGCCTTTCTCCCCAGCCTTGGGTCTTGTCGGTTAAATGGGGAGAATGGCATTTGGAAGTGGTTTATTTGTGCGACCCCCCCTTGAGGGGGCTTTTCCAGTTCCCACAGGCCTGAGAGCAAGACTACAGTCCCACTAAGGGCCACCTGTATGGATTTGGGGCATTCCCTCAGAAGGGTCCTTTCTGCAGTCTCAAGAGGCTGCCCCCACCCCCTGGGAGGTGAGAGCCGTGCAGGTCCTTGCAGAGATACTCCCCTCATGGGAAGTGAGCTTGGAGTGGGTGAGGGACCAGGTGTTCTTGGTGGGGCTGGTGGATGCATGGGCCAAAATAAGTACTAGTGATGATAGCACATTGTGGATATCCACATTGTGGATAGCACATTGTGCCTTCTGGAATGTACCTTTCTGTTCCTCTGCCTCCATCCTACCTGTGCAGGTGGCCCTGGTGGAAGGAGGGTGGGGCAGTGGCCCCCATCCACAACCTTGACACTCCTGGAGCAGGTCTGTCTTGTTGGGGATGAAAAGTTTTCCTCTGCCTTTCAAAGTTCATTAAATGGACTAAAAATTAAATTGAAATGAGACAGATTAATAGGAGAAAATCAAGGAAAGCTTAAGAAATTGTATACTTCCTATATATACATGGCAGAGCCCCAGGAAAACTGAGTAACTCCCTGAAATGGCCAAAGCCATCACCTTAAATACCATCATTAACTAAAGACAAAAAATGTTGGGGGCAGGAATTCAGTTGTGGGAGGTTCCCAGGAAAAGTACAGCAAACAAGGGCAAAGTTAAGCAGATATAAGTTATTGCTTTCTCCAGTGATAGCAGCTTCTGGAGATTGACAGTCACACCTGCATCCTAGTGCTGAAGGAGACACCCTTACAAGTGGAGATTTCCCTATTCATGTAAGTGTCTCTTACAAAAGTGTGACTTCTTGGTTTTCAGAACTTCTCATGGCTCTTGTGTATTTCCTTATAAAATAACCAGCCTGGAATAACCAATATGCCAAAAAGGCATATCTTAGGGTAGCAAAGTTTGACCCACTCAAGGCCAAGAAGTTCCCAGATGTTGGGTTGGCTGGGCTTCCCAAAGGCTGGGGATGAGGAAGCAGCTCAGGGAGCCTTGGGCAATTATGCTCTTTCCCAGGGAGGCGGAACCTGGGCTTATTCACAGGGTGACGCCTTGCTCTCAGTTTGAGTCTGGTCTCTCCCAGTTACTCTGGGTGCCCTGCACGGAGCCTCCTGGAAGCCTCAGAACTCTGTCCCCTCTTCACCTTCTATTAGGAACCCAGGTGTTCTTCTTCTATCCAGAAAGCCAGGACCCAGGTGCTCCCTTACCAGGGAGGGAGTGCCCTCTGGTGAGAGGCGTCCTAAAGGCCTGGGAGGTGGCAGCTGGAGGAGAGCAGGGCCAGAAGCCAAGTCTGAAGGAAGGAACTGCCAGCCAATGAAGGGCGGACTGCCTGTGCCCTGACCTGTGGGGCTGGGACAGCACGGGACCCATAGGTATTTCTGAGTGTGAGTGTGAGTGTGTTCCTTGTTGAGAAGCCCTCTCCCTTGGAAGGGACTGGACTCTTCTATCTGGCTAAAATATTAATATGGTGGAGAAAGTTCCTTGATCTTCCCTTTTGAACTCTTCCTCCAAATAAAAAAATTCTATTTTAAATTATACTAAATGAGTTTAGTTCTACCATGCCTGGATCTTTCCTGCCAAGGTTGTGTGTCCTGGAGTTAACTCTACTCAATTTCTTTCCTTTCTGTCTAGCTCTGAATCCCTATTGATTATGTTTCACTTGGTCCTTATTCTGCTATTGCATCTTTATTTTAAGGATACAGAATGCATAGCAGTGTGAACCAAGGCAGATGAACTCTGGCACCAGGCAAGGTTGTGATTGGAGGTGGGGGTGGGAGGTGCCACTAGTCTCTGCCCTGGTGTGATGAGGGGCTGGGCTCAAGCCTTGTAATTTCAGCTGTGTGATGTGACAAGCTCAGGACAGCATTTGCCACTTAAACACTCATGGTTGGGAAATTACTATGAGCAAGTGACCAGGATCCAAACCTTCTGTTGACCAGAATTGATTGCTGGTTTCTAAATAGCTTTGCAAAAGGCCAACCTGTTTTCTGGGAGGCCAGCCACAGGGCTCCATATTGGACAAGCTAATCCTTACCTCTCATTTGGCTAAAGAGGAAGGCTGACACTTTCCCACATGTTTCCTACTCTCATCTGCAATTGGCTCATTTCCTCTTAAGTGACAGTTTTTCCCAAATGAATGGAATACTGGGTATTATTAACCAAGAGATTGCTGGTCCTGATCCAGGAAGTTCCTATATGCTCAGGTCTTAAAACATGGTTCTAAACATTTTCCATCTGGGGACTACTGATTATAATATAAAAACTCTGGAGGACAATGATATACCTCATTTTATCTGAAACTTCCCTCTCTCATTTCTCAGTAGGATAACCAGGAGAAAAGTTGATGTTTTGTTGTCATCTTGGGGAACTGGTATTTCATTTTGATTGAGCATAAGCAAGCAATTCATTTCTGCCCAAGAGAGCCAAAAAGATTCCTGCAGCCAGAAGAGACCACAGAGATAGTGGGGTTTAACCTCTTGGGCCCATGTTGAGAATCTCCAGCATCAAAAACTTGGGCAGACTGTGGCGAAGTTCCAGGCAGAGGCTGTGGAGACATACCTGGGTATGAATCCTGATCTGCCACTACTGGTTGGGTAACTTTGGGCAAGAGCTGCTAGCACCCTCAACTTTACTGAGCACCTGCTGAGGGTTAGGCTCTGTGCTGAGGACCCTGAGACCTCTAGGCAGGTGCTGGCTCTCAGTTTGGTTGAGAGGCAGGCAGGGGTGCCATGCAGTGGGGTGGGTACCCTGTTTGAGGAGTGAGCACAGCTGGGTTAACTGTTGACATCTCTTCCAGGGCCAAGGTTCACACTAACCCTGTTGGCACCCTGGGACCACATGAGGATACTGCTGTGGCTTCTTATTTTCCCTGCTTGGGATTTTGGGGCTTGGGGTGAGTTTTCTTTCATTGGGTCAGAAGTGCTTTTCGTACTAATTGTAAGTCATCCTCCTTATCGCTCATTGATTGTTCCTTCTGGCCAGTCCTTGGCTCCCCATTAGAGCCTAGCTCAGGTGTCCCCTGCCCTACTGAGAGTGGCGCCAGTCCTCAGTAGTCTCCTCAGTCTGCCCAGCACACCTTGGCTTTAGTTTCATGGTCATGAATTTGCTCCTTGATGATTTCACAGAAGGACAGAATGGAGGCCCTTAGTGACCTTGACTTACAGACAAGGATATGAGCTGGGCTCCATTGCAGCAGTGACTTATCCAAGGTCATCTGACAGCTTTGGAGAGGTCACCAAGTATAGTGGCAGTGAACGCAGCTTGGGTCAGACAGCCTAGGTTGGAACCAAGCCCATGGCTTAAACCCATATCATCTTAGACAAGTAACTTAACTTCTTTGAGCCTTAGTTTCTCCTCTGTGTTGAGGGAGTGGTTAATTTTCTTTGCTTATCACATATACGTGTTTTAAGCCACAGATCTGGTAAGGCTCTTGAAAGTGCTTGGTAAACTATAGAGCTGCCCTGTGGGAGGTGATGTTGGTGACACTGCTGGTTCTAGTAGGTTTTGCTCCTATGATCTCTGGTACTAAACAGGCAGAGGAGAATGAGGCATGTTGATGATGACTAATCCTCAGTTAATGCCATCTCAAAAATCTAGTTTGTGAGGTCAGTCACAACAATCTGCAAATTTCTGTATTTCAAGAACCTTGTCTGGATCAATACATGCTTGATACATGTGTACATGTTACTACCAAATAATGATGACCACCTTGGTATGTGACCCTCTGATCTGAACAAAGGTATGTAGGTGAGCCAGGAGAGCTAGAGCTGCTCAGACGAGGGGGCAGGAGAGATGGCAATTCCCCTGGAATGGAGGGAATTTGGGAGGGCATGAAGGTCTCACTGGGGCAGATGTGGGAGGCAGAGGTGGGGTGAAGCCAGAAACATCTGTAGTTCTCTTTTGTGTTGTTTCCTAGAAGATGTCAGGGGACTTGGGGGAGTGGAGAGGCTGTGGACTTTGGGGTGGGGATGTCGAGTCTATTCCTCTTCACTGGTCCAGGTATTCTCCAAGGACCAGCACTAAGTGCAATGTTCCTTTGCAGGGGATTCCCCACTGTTCTCCTGGAATGAAACCCAAGCCAGAGGATTATCAGAGGGTCTTCTAGACTTTTTTGTTGGCATCTCTCAGCTCATTCACAAGGGTCAAAATGGTGAGGTGGTTTGGGGTTAGCTAGGGATCCTCAGGTAGCCAGAAGTGTTTATTGGGACTTAATTATACTTGGGCTGGGTTGGTAGGTGGGGTTGAATCCCACAAAGCTCCCATGGATTGCCATGAATCCTCAGGCAAAGGTGGGTTCCAGGAAGGAGGGAAAACCCAGGGACTAAGAACAAGGCCCCCAGTCTCCAGCTGTCAGTAGAAGGGTAGAGACACCCTATCCCTCAGAAAGCTCCCAGATGCTTCCAACATAAAGATAGTAAGTGAGTCCTCAGGGGTCCTGGGGTCCTGTGCAGGGCTCTCAGCCCTGTCTACAGTGCATTTTCACATGGGAGAAAGACATGTACCTGATGCTCAGGGAACTTCCTAAGGGCTCGAATCTGAGGAGAGAAACAGAGCTTTCCTCAGAGAGTCACCATTCTGAGGGGAGGCCCAGACAATAGACAGGTCAGAGACCCAGGGCAAATGCCAGTGAGGACAATGCATTCATACTGGGGTGCTTTAAGAGATGGCAGCTCAGAGTCCCATGGTTAGCACAGAGTGTCACAGGGGCTACTTTCTGGAGGTGGGAAGTGCAAAGCAGGCCAGGGTAGGGCTGAGGGGGTTTGTCCTTTAGGATATACAATGAGGGAATGTATGAAAACCAAGACAGCTTTACTTCTGATGCTGATGTAGAGTCTGCATGGGGACTGCTTTTAGCCAGAATAGGCTATGGAGATGAGAAGGGGGGCTGTGGGTGGTGGAGGCATCCAGGGGACTCTCCCAGGCCTGCAGAAGAAATAGTAGTGCTTGCTGTATGCCATCCTGTGGTCCCCTTGCAGAAGCTCCCACCATTGTCTCCCGCAAGGAGTGGGGAGCGAGATCACAGACCTGCAGGGCCCAGCTGACACAACCTGTGGCCTATGTCATCATGAACCAGCTCACAGGGATGGAGTGCCAGGAGCAGGATGTTTGCAGCCAGAGGCTTCGGGGCTTTCAGTCCCATTCTGTCTACACCAAAGGCTGGTGCGACGTGGTCTACAAGTAAGCAAATGGGTGGGTCCTGGAGCCACATTCAAGTCTGCCTCTGAGGGGGCCACCCAATTTCCCTCATCTAGTTTCCCATCTTCCCATTCATGTTGCTTTTATAATGAATAAAAAATGTTAAAACAAATGAACAAAATCCAGAATCCTCAGAGGTGTTTAGGAAGGATGGCTCAGAGCCATTTATTCAAAGATGGTCTCAGACACTGGAGGATTCTGGAATAAGTAAGGGAGGTTGTGTAATAACTACAGTCGCCCATGGAGCATGTAGAATATTACAGTTTACAAAGGTCTTCACAAGCATTATCTAGGCCCTCCCATCCACTCTGAGGAATGGGTGAGAGAATGGGAGAACTTTACCACCCCCTGTGTCAAAGGTACGGATGCCACTGTCTAGAGAAGACAATTTGTTAAGTTAGGGAGTGGGACCTAGAGCTGTTTCCAGACTGCCTACTGATCCAGCAGTCTACACAAAGACAGTGAGGAGCATTCTCCCACTGGATTCCTTGGAGGGCCAAGTCACACTGAGGTCTGATCTCACAGGGAATGGTGGTGGGGATTGAGAGGGGAGAGCCCCATGTTAAAACAAATGTGATGCATGGAGAGATCCTGAGGTTGTGTATCAAGTGTCCACTCAGGATTACCAGTGGAGGCCCAGAAACTCTTCCTTTCCCCCTTAATAATGAGGATAAGAGCGCCTGGGTGGCTCATTTGGTTCAGCATCTGACTTGTTTTCAGCTCAGGTCATGATCTCATGGTTTGTGAGATGGAGCGAGCTTCAGTCATTGGGCTCTGCACTGACAGTGGTGATCCTGCTTGGGACTCTCTCTCTCTTCCTCTCTCTCTACCCCTCTCCACATGCACACCCACTATCTTTCTCTCAAAATAAATAAATATAAACTTAAAAATTTTTTTTATGAGGATATGTATATAGACACACATAATCTCCAGTTTGTACGGTACAGCTGAGTGTTGCCATAAGGGACAGTTCACATTGGACTAACCAAAGGCTGCTGAAGAGTGACAGAGATACTTACTGAAAGTCTGGGCAGCAAAGTCTTCCCAGATCAGTGGGCATACTGAGGCCCCACCCGATCCCCAGGCCATGTCAGTGCAGGGTGGGAGGTGGGCTCACCTCCATCCAGGGTCTTTAGGCATCCTTGAGAAAGTGTTCTTTCTGTGCTCCATTTGCTATGGAAACTCACAGTCTATTAAGAGTAGAATATGGCAAGAGCTGTGAAAATATAATTTCTGAAGAGTGTAGTTGGGAAATGGAGAGTAAGAAAGTTAGAGAGGCAGAAAGGAGGCAGGAGGTAGAGCAAAATAATAGATATATTGTTTTTAAAAGAAACTGAAAAAAAGGAATATTCTAAACAAATTTCTGTGATACAGAAGAGCTTACAGGTATTCCTAAGGAGAAACTGAAGATAAAGCCAATATTAAGGGATTCCTGAACTCCAACTGTTTATTTTATTTATTTATTATTATTATTTTTTAATGTTTATTTTTGACAGAGAGAGAATTACAGAACATGAGAGGGGGAGGGGCAGAGGGAGAGGAAGACACAGAATCTGAAGCAGGCTCCAAGCTCTGAGCTGTCAGCACAGAGCCCGATGCAGGGCTCAAACTCACAAACCACGAGGTCATGACCTGAGCTGAAGTCAGACGCTCAACCGACTGAGCCACCCAGGCACCCCTCCAGTTGTTTATTTTAAATGTTCATGTGCTTTCTCCTATAATTAAAAAATAGGATGGATGAGTTTTCATTGCCCTGGAAAAGTACTGAAATAATGTTCTCAGGTGTTTAAGAGTCACACATTTGAATTCCACTTTGAACCAACCGAATATATTTTTTTAATTTTTTAAAAATGTTTATTTATTTTTGAGAAAGAGTGAGACAGAGCATGAACAGGGGAGGGGCAGAGAAAGAGAGAGAGGGAGACACAGAATCTGAAGCACACTCCAGGCTCCGAGCTGTCAGCACAGAGCCGGATGAAGGCTCGAACCCATGAACTGGGGGATCACGACCTGAGCCGAAGCCGGATGCCTAACTGACTGAGCCACGCAGGCACCCTAGAACCAACTGAGTATTTTTTTAATTAAAAATTTTTTTACCTTTATTTATTTTTGAGAGACAGAGAGACAGAGCACAAGTGGGGAGGGGCAGAGAGAGACGGAATCCGTGTTAGTTCCAGGCTCGAGCCAAACAAAGAACAGACGCCTACCTAGGCTCAACTCACAAACCATGAGATCATCACCTAAGCTGAAGTTGGACGTTCAACCAACTGAGCCACCCAGGTGCCCCACCAACTGAGTATTTTTAAAGTGAGGTTCTGGGACACACAAGCTGTCAACATAATTTAAAAGTATATATTCTACATCTCTTTTGAATTGTCATTTGGTGTCCCACTGTTAGGTAATTAAAACATAGTACTTATTGATGAGCGTTTAAAACACTTTTCCACTCTGAGGGTGGGTGAGAGGTCTTTAATTTGCCTTTAAATCCATGTTTCCTTGCCCTGCAGCTTCCTGATTGGGGACGATGGCAGGGTGTATGAAGGTGTCGGCTGGGGTGTCCAAGGCATGCATACCCAGGGCTACAACAACATCTCCCTGGGAATTGCCTTCTTTGGCAATAAGATAGGTAATGGTTGTCCCCTCGGACCTTCTGCCAGAGAGTTTTCCACTCTCTTCCTCCACTCCCTTGTCTTAACACTCTTGTCTCTCCAGTCACAGAACATAATGTTTTCAACTTATCACCTCTTCTCTTCTCTGGTTCTTTTAATGTTTATTTTTGAGAGAGAGAAATAGAGCATGACTGGGGGAGGGGCGGGGGGGGACACAGAACTAAAAGTAGCAGGCTCTAGCCTCTGAGCTGCCAGCACAGACCCTGATGCAAGGCTCAAACCCCCGAACTGTGAGATCATGACCTCAGCTGAAGTCAGACACTTAACCAACTGGGCCACCCAGGTGCCCCATCCCTTCTTTTGAGTTCTTTTCTCCCTTGGATTCTATGATATAGCTTTTTTGTTGTTGTTGTTCTCTTCTTCCTCTCTGGTCTGTACTCCTGTTTGGTAGCTGAAGCCACCACTGACACCGCTTAAGCTCTCAGTTCTTACCATCACTTCTGGAGTCTGATGTTGTATGGCACTGAGTCTATACCTATGGATGGCAGAGGCAGAAAAACATGGCTTCTCTCTTGCTGGAACAGCAGAATCCATCCAGAGCTGGCAGCAATGAGGTCTGGGAAATGTAGTTTGAGGTTTCTAGCCCCTGCGAAACAGAGGAGAGCTCAAGAAAAAAATGGAGTTAAGAGCTAGTAAGTGAATAACTGGAACCTGCCAGGATCCTCATTTGCCAACTGGGGCTAGGAATAGCATTTATCTTGGAGGTTTTCAGTGAGAATTATATGAGTTAATGGATATAAAGTGCACTTGCCACATGCCTGATTGTGGGAGTTCCTAAATTCTGTTCCCTTTTCCTGCATGCTAAGGCATACCTGATTTAGTCAAGTTGGCCTTCCTTTGCATGTAGCTTTAATTGCTGCCCAACTCTTTCACCTAGAGATGGAGTATAAATAAGGTCCTAGTTTGGCAATTGGAAGAGGTCACCAATTTGGCTTCTAAGAGCTCTGTCCAAGTAGCTCCTTGTCTCTTAGGCCCCATTTTGGCTACTGGATTTGTTTCCTGTCTTCCAATCTATCAGTTATTCAGACCTAGGTGACTTCTTATCCTCTCCCAGGTCTAGATCAGGATGGAATGTCTTGCTGACAGTTCTTGGTCCCACGTTATCCTCTTTTAGGAAGCAGTATAAGCCCTGCCGCCTTATCAGCTGCAGAGGACCTGATATCCTATGCCATCCAGAAGGGTCATCTGTCACCCAGGTATATTCAGCTACTCATCTTGAATGAAGAGGTCTGTCTGGTCCCTCAAAAGCCAGTGATGCCTAGGAAAGGTAAGACCCTCAATCTTGCCTCACCTTCCTGCCAGTTATCACTCAACCACATTAGGGAATGCTGTGTCCTATTGGTGTTCACTGGCTTCTTGGATCAAGAACACCTCATGCTGAGATCCAAAAAATTCTGACAGGCTAGCTTCCTGGCCTCCTCTCCTTCCCACTAGTGTGATATAGCCGTGAGACCATTCTTGTTAGCAATATGTATGTGCACACACTTTCATTCAAGCAACAAATATTAACTGAATACGAGGCACTATTCTAGGAACTGAGAACACGGCTGTGAACAAATATACAAATCTTCACATTTCAGTGAAGAAAGACAGAAAATGAAGACCTCAACAAGTAAAATACATATGATGTCAGATTGCATCAAAGCTATGGAGAAAAAGGAAACATGATAATGGGATGGGGTAAACATTTATACAGTTTTGTGTATAGCAGGTGAGTACACACACATACACACACACACACACAGCATTCTAAGAGCAAAACCCAGCCATCCTGCAGCATGACCACACACCGAGAAAAACGAGTTAGCAGGTAACACTGACATCAGAGTGAATATTCCAAGAAGTAGGGTAATAAAAATCATGTGCTATTTTGGAGTGAGCAAGCAGTGACCTAAAAACAGTACAATATATCTAGCTTTCTGCTAGAGTGGACCTTTTCTTGGACTCAAGGATATTTTTATTAAGCTTTTTTTTAAACTAAGTTTTTAATAAAATGCTTCTGGCTTTCAGATGGATGCTATTTTCAATAATGATCTTTTTAGCATTTGTAGAGTTTTTTATATATTTTGAATTATTTCCATATACACATGATCAGTTCAGAGTCACAGCTGATTTCTTCACATTGTCCTGTTTCATAGGTCCACACACCTGCATAAATGTGCAATATATCAAGTAGGTAGGCAATACATCAAGCAGGTAGGCATACTTTGTCTTTTGAATAAAATGGCCATGCCTCTGTACAATCAACAGTCCTTCCCCTTATGTTCATATAATGATTTCCACAGTTGTTATCAGAACCTATAAATTTTTGCCTCTGTCCCTTAGCTCCAGGCACATGACCCAGAAAGTTCCTGTCTGGACTTTCCTAAATTCCAAAGCTTGAGCTTACATCAGGAAGTGGCAATGGGTGCCAGAGGTTGGGGAGACTGAGAAGGAATCCAGCCTGCAGTTATGAGTTTGCCCATAAGTAGGTGTGTTCCCATGCTCTTGGTTTTTTACCTTACCACAGCTTGCCCCAACATCATTTCACGGTCAGTATGGGAAGCCAGAGAGACACACTGCCCTAAAATGAGCCTCCCAGCGAAATATGTCATCATCATCCACACCGCTGGTACAACCTGCAATGTATCCATGGATTGCCATATTCGTGTCCGAGATACACAATCCTTTCACATGGACACACAGCACTTCTGTGACATTGGATATCAGTAAGTGGGATTGAAAACATGCCCTCCTCTTGTTGGGATGAGCACTGGGTGTTGTTTGGAAACCAATTTGACAATAAATTAATGTTAAAAAAGAAAAGAAAACATGCCCTTCTATTCTTCAGGACTGTAGGAGGAAGGCTGGGGAAGGAACTGATATTTATTGAACCCTTCTTTGGTAGTGGGTGCTTCACATAAAACATCACATTTTATTCAAGCAAGTCTCTGGACTGAGTATCAGTTAGATCATAGCTAAGGGTTAGTTATCTCTCCTGGGCATATTCTCTATGAGTGGTTGGGAAGACTCTGAAAAGACATTAACAACAATAATGATAAAGCAAGACCATGAGACCCTTACGGAAGGCCATTGGAGGATTGTGCCTTTTTATGCAATCCCTTCCAACCACTCAGGGTCACAGGCCCTACTCACCTCCTACCTTACTCTGGCCCAACCTCAAACTTGCTCCCTCTGATGTTAGAATCCTATAATAACTCTGGTATAGTTTACTCCATTTTATAGATACACAAACTTTTCACCTTCCTGGGCCTCTTTTGCCTCATCTCTGCAACAGGAACAATAATACTTTATCTATTTGAAGATACAGAGTGAAGTAAAAATGTTCTCTTTTGGTTCCTTTAATGCCAGATCTATAATAAAGAAACACATTAAGTTAGTGGAATGGCAGAAGCCACTTGGAAGATGACTTGGAATTTTCATGGAAAGAATTTAGGTTTAGCATATGATAAATTTCAATTACTCATCCATGACTTAGTTACAATAAAACCATAGTCTCAGATAGATATGTGTCTTTTGCATATGTGTCATTCTGGGCTGGTTGCTGTTCTCCTTTTAACTCCCATTTTAAAAGTAGCCTTTGCCATCTAGATGTCTTCTTTAAAGAAATGTCTGTTCATATCTCCTGCCTATTTCAAATTGGATTATTTATTTTTTTGGTGTTGAGTTGTATAAGTTCTTTATATACTTTGGATATTAACCCTTTATTGTATATGTCATTTGCAAATATCTTCTCCAATTCCATATGTTGTCTTTTAGTTTTGTTGACTGTTTCCTTCTCTGTGCAGCTTTTTATTTTGATGTAGTCCCAATAGTTTATTTTTGCTTTTGTTTTCCTTGCCTCAGGAGACATATCTAGAGAGATGTTGCTATGGCCGATATCAGAGAAATTACTGCCTATGCTCTCTTATAGTATTTTTATGGTTTCAGGTCTCACATTTAGGTATTTAATCAATTTTAAGTGGAATTCAAGAAACAAAAAAATAAACAAAAGAAAAAGAAGATAGATAAACCAAGAAACAGACTCTCAATTATTGAGAACAAACTGATGGTTTGTTACAGAGAGGAGGTGGATGGGGGATGGGTAAAACAGGTAATGGGGATTAAGAGTACACTTATGATGGGCACTGAGTAATGTATAGAATTGTTGAATCACTATTTTGTACAACTGAAACTAATATAACACTATATGTTAAATGTACCAAAATTAAAATTAAAGACTTAATTAAAAAATTAAAAGCAGCCTTTGCAAACAGGAGGAAACAGTTGCTGCATTTTGCAGGATTTCCCACAGCCTTGCTATGATTAATTAGCACAGACGAGAGAGTTGTTCATAAATTTGGAAATTCCAAATGGCAAATGCTCAGGGAATGTTAGTTTTCCTTTTTCATTCAGTCTTCAAGGACTTCATCTTCATTCCTTGATTTTACGGTATCTCCCTTTCACTCCAGCCTCATGGTGTGTTATCTCTAACATTGAATGGGCTCCAGTTAGGACCTTCTTGATCACCATTTTCTAACATTTTAACCAATATTTATTGAGTGTCTGCTATGTGCCTGATGCTTGGCAAGATAGATATGGCTCCTTCCCTCATGGAGTACTACAGAGAAGACAGTGAATAGTAATGACAATCCTTCATGTTAGACACTGTGACAGATAAGGAACAGGATATGCAGAGGATGATCTTCTAACAAGACTTTGGTGGAGTTGGCAGTAATAGGAAAGGGCTTCCAGAGGGAGGGGTATCAAGGCTCTGATGTGGGTAAGGAATGGGGATTAGTGGGGCAAATAAGGGTGAGGAGTGCTCCAGGTAAGGGGAGCAGCATGCTCTCTGGGGTCCAGAGAGGGCATATCCTTGAGGAACTAAAGGAGCTTAATTCATATCTAGAAATACATTTCAGCAAGAGGACTGGTGAGAGGTAAGGCTGGAGAAGCCAACAGGGACCATATCAGAAGAACTCAGACTGACTCTATTTGAAAGGCAACTGGAAGTCATGCCTAATGATTGGATTTGTATTTTAGCAAAAGCACTTGAGGTGCTGTTTCAGGAATGGATTAGAAGGAGGTAAACCTCTGGGCAGGGAGCTATTGAAGTAATCCAGACAACAGGTTATGGTGACTTGGAGCAGTATGATAGCAGTTGGCATAGAGAAATGGAGGAATCAAGGTCAGAGATATAGCCACGTATCCTGATAAACCATGACCAATGATTGGATGGGACTGGGAGAGGGAGAGAGAGGGGGAGGCAGTAAGATGATGTCCACTTTTTTGGCTGAGAAAATTGCAGAAGATGGGTTCATTTGGACATGTTGATTTTTATAGATAGTAATTAAAGCCATTGGACTGGGCAACTGTCCCAGGAGAATATGCTGAGTGACAAGAGAGAAGGGGAAGACCAGAATCCTGAGGAGCACCATATTTTAGGAAAAGGAGGTGGATGGAAGAGAGCCCTAAGTGGGGGGAGCAGCAGAGTAGAGGAAAATAGGAGGGTGTGGGCTCCTGGAAGCGCTGGGGTGAGAACATTTAAAGAAGAGTGTGGCTAACAGGGTCAATGTAACCAGAACAAAAACAAGTTTCCATTGTACTAGTATCAAGACAGTCACTGGTCACCTTGGTGGTGTCAGACTCAGTGGAGTTGTGGGAACAAAACCATGTTGGAATGGGCAGAAGTTGCTGTTATTGCTTGCGATTATCTTCACTTCTTGGGTTCAGCGATTATGGAGTTTTTGTTGTTGTTGCTGTTGTTGTTTGGTCTCATACACATTGGCACATAAGAGACGTTCACTCTATACCTGATAAATGGAAGAAAGACTGAATTAATGATTTAAGGGGTGAATGAAGCTAATTCTCCTTCCAGGAGTGACTTTCTCTATTTTCCTTTGTCCAACCCCAGCTTCCTGGTGGGACAGGATGGTGGTGTGTATGAAGGAGTTGGCTGGCATATCCAAGGCTCTCACACCTATGGATACAATGATATTGCCTTAGGAATTGCCTTCATAGGCAACTTTGTAGGTAAGGGGTGAGCATGAAGCAGAGAACATTCTAGGGGGATGAAGTTTAATATACAATGTCTGGGAAGCATGGGGGAAAAGGCAACATTGAGGTACCTGGCAGTGTGTTTAGAACATTTCAGCTTTTATTTATTTATTTATTTATTTTTTTAATTTTTTTTTTCAACGTTTATTTATTTTTGGGACAGAGAGAGACAGAGCATGAACGGGGGAGGGGCAGAGAGAGAGGGAGACACAGAATCGGAAACAGGCTCCAGGCTCTGAGCCATCAGCCCAGAGCCCGACGCGGGGCTCGAACTCACGGACCGTGAGATCGTGACCTGGCTGAAGTCGGACGCTTAACCGACTGCGCCACCCAGGCGCCCCGAACATTTCAGCTTTTAAAGTGGACTCTCAATATAGGGCACAGGTCCCCCAGAGTCCCTGCCAGGCAGAACTTTCCCCCAAATTCACCTGTCCCCATACTCAGCCCTGTCTTTATAGCCATATACAAGGCAAGGATGGATCAAGAGAGAACACCATCCTTTGCAAATATGGTGTTTTTCTGGCTCATTTGGCAAATGTATTCTCCTCCCTGGTGAATGTTGGGGAGCCCCACTGCCTGCTATGGCAAAGCAGTGGATGGTCCAGTGGTGCCATGTCTGCCTCACGGTGCTTGCTGAGGAGTGTTGTGTTGTACTGGAGCTCTCTTCTAGAGTAGTTTTGAACTTTCTGGAAGGAGCTTTGCAAGGAGGAATCAGAGAACAAAATGACTTTGTTTTCTCTTTGTGCTTGGCTGCCACAATTAATGTGAATTTGTTGGTTATGGTAGTGGTAGGTATGGTAGGGGTGGGGACAGTGGGAGACTGGAATCTAGGAGCTTGTCCCTTCCCTAAGCATGTAACCTTAAGACCCTAAAACTGATGGGAAAATGTGTTTTGCAGAAAAGCCGCCCAATGCTGCAGCCCTGGAGGCAGCCCAGAACCTGATCCAGTGTGCAGTGGACAAGGGGTATTTAACTCCCAACTACCTGTTGGTGGGGCACAGTGACATTGTCAATACACTGTCTCCTGGGAAAGCTTTGTACAACATCATTAAGACTTGGCCTCATTTCAAACACTGAAGGAGCCCCTGCTCCTTCTGAGATTGCTTCTCCTACTGGGCTACTAGGTCTCCCCTGTCCTCACCCTCTATCCTGACTCAACACC